CAAATGAAATCCTTATTGATATAGATGAATGGATTCAAAGAAAACGGCTGCAAAAACAGCAAATGGATCTCAAAAATGTACAATACAAACCTCATCTACATATGAAAACTTACATTAATGACAAATACACTGAGTAGCTAACACAGAAAAAATACATGCTACAAGCGAAATCCAATATGGGATGTAGACCAATCAAAGAGTGTGAACTTCCATAGCCGTTAATAACTGTCTAAAAGCTACTATTTGAAGTTCCCCTGGCATTATCTTTCCTGGCTCGCATTGCCCGTTCGAATTCGACTTCGCTGTAGTATTTCGCTAAAGACTGCACTGAGTTGTATACGTATCAGGCCATCTAATAAAACCAAACGGAACAGAACCACGGCCAACAGCGAGACTCACCTCTGTAGAAAGCCATGAGTAATTCTAAAAGAAAAATGATGTTAATCAATAATATAAGTTAATCTCGCGACAAATTTTTATATCATAATATTTTTTTTCTGTCATAATGTCACATCAGCTTGTCCATGAAGCAGGTTCCTGTTTTTACCCAAACGGCGTGCTTTTGAAGATATGTGGGCTGGAAGTGTCGCCCTCTAGTCCAGAACATTTTGGAATGTTGTCGAATGTTCGGTAATGACTTGGAACGTTCAGAAAAATTCCATATCATTGTGGAACGATCAAGAAAACTATATGTTCCCTAATCCATTTTTTTCGGTTTTTACCTGAAAGGTGTACTTTTGAAGATGACTGAAGGGTCATAATTCTCACCTTCTAGATCTCTCTATAGAACAATCGAAACCATTTAAAGTATTCGAGACCTGAAATGTTCGAAACTTTGTCGCACTGGTTTATCAGACCGCTTGAATCAACTTTCTCGCTAGAAAGTTTTAATTTTGCGATAATTTCTAAGATATCAATTGTCAAAATTGTCAACCACCTTCAAACATATCAATTTGAATTGTGTGGTATAGGCAATTATAATGTGCATAAAATGCTAATGTAACCAAAGTATTTATTTGATAAAAATATCGTCATATTTCAACCAATTGACACAAAATAATAATAAATTATAAACGGACGTTTAGACAGACACGACGGTAACTTCCATTTCAAATATGTATTGATAACTTGATAGTAGAATATGGAACCTCTCTAAACGACCTGAATCAACATCAATACGCTTTACGTAGCCGTAATATCTAGTCATCGGAGATATTAATTCAGGATGTAAAAACCCCTGAAGAACCTAGCCACTCGCGCCAGCGAAACGTCTGAAAAATAGTGACACTGAATAAAGTTGTTTTCCAGAAGAAAGAATGTATTCTCAAATTGTTCATGTAAACAGTGTATACCTAATTACAACGAAATCTGAAAGTCCATTATAGTATTGCGTTGAAATCCAAAGGATTCTTTTTTACGTTTACTTAGTAATTGGCTGTATCCAAAATTTCGTAATAATTTTTTTACACCTCAGTTATGAAATTCTAATTCCAATATTTATATCGATATAGAAATAATGGATTAAAACGAAGTATTCAGCCACAACATCGCTTTTACTTTTTAATGAATGATTCAACCGAGCATTCCATTATTATTAGTCAAATTGTCTACAAAAGAGTATATGAATTTTTGTGTGAGGTGTGTCTGTCATGTGTACTTTCTCGATTGACCCAAAATTTGTAGAAACTGGTAGACAGATACACAAACTTCATTACGTTTTTGAAGGACTCGCAAATCTAATACCTAATTTCAATATTCTTACGAAAGAGTGGGTTAGCGAAATTTATTGTCACCGTATGGTACAGTGTGTCATTCATTTTCAGTTTTGAATGGGAGAAAAAGACAATTCACTGTATTAAGGTTATGTGAAATTATAAAAATTACTATTTATTGATGTGAAATTACATAATTCCTGTTTAGTGTCTAATAACCAAATCATAAATCGACAAAATGGTCATCGTAGATAGTCTGCAATTGATGATTGAAAGTAATTTCCCTGAATTTTCGAAAGGTTATATCGTATCACTTCATTATTATAGTCCAAATAGGAAAAAAATTAGTTTGAGTCTCTTGCGACTAGTCGTTTTCAAAAACAGGAACAAAAAACTCTTTTTTGTTTCTAAAACAAATTCGAATTCCACCAAACAGACAAAAACTATTATATTCTGATTTGCGCGTTATGTTGTTCTATGGTTTCCACTACATGACCGGAAATTGTATTAGTACATTATTCAACTGTCCTTTACTTTTTTCGTTTATGTTCTACAAAGGAAAATTAAATCTAATTCTTGTTTAAAATAAACAACAATACAAAAAATTGATAAAAACAGCTAATGTTGTCTGCATAGAGAGGTTGAGTCCTTACATGGGTCGTGATGTCACCTTTTGGAATGTTGTTCGGGGCGAACAACCTCAGGAAATGGGGTAGTGTTGTGAATCATTCCCTAAAGAAAATAACGCCGGCCGCCGTTGGTAGCCATAAACAAATTGTGGCGTAGCTAAGAGCGCGCCAATATTCGATGTTCGCTGACGTTCTAGATGTAGCGAGAATAATGCTACCGTCTTCGATGTAATTCCGAGGAATGTTCCGGCGCCTTCGATTGCCAAATATAAGCGACATCCACTCGCCCATCGAGAAAGTCAAGTGAAAGTTACAGTGCGGTACTCGGAGCTACCTAGTAAGGCGATAGACATTTGAATAATAGTTGAAGTTTTAGTTAAAGTATTTTGTTATATTAATAGTGAAATAAACTTGAGTTTGATCATTGTTCGATGTAGTCAATTATTGGTAAACCCACGGGGAAAAACGTAACAGTAATAATGTCGCCTACCGTTTCCACTTAGCGATATCGTCACAGTTGCTGTTTTGTTGTGGTTTGGTGGAAATCCGCCTTTAAACCATTAGTAGGTGGCGCTCGTGAAAATCTTGGAACAGTGAAAACAACTCAAGGTGTATAAATTTACATAATGATTACGACTGGATCTTTCCCAAACAATCGCCGTACAAAAATATGGGACACGAAAATAAGACAAACTTTTTTGGAAAACTGACCACTTTAGGCAAAGATTTTCTTTAAACAGATTCATCACCATTTTTCTTTCATTCGGATATGAAAGAATAATGAAAATCATACTCGGTAGCTGTTTGTCACTTTTCACGTGGTTTCGATAACCTTCAAAGCTCATTTGACACTGAACAAGGCTTTCAATTTATTATTTAGCGATAATAAAATATTGAAAATCATGATATGACATATATTTCAAATGGTGCATTAAGAGAAAAATATGCCAGAAGTAATGTAATCTCCCATTTTTTCACAAATAAAACAATTGTTTTCCCAATTTTGCTAAAGAATTCTTGGAAGGATCTTCTTCCAAATGTACCTTTATCGGTCTTCGACAAAGTGAAATTCAAAATGACGCAAAAACTCTCTAACGACTTGAAAGACAAGCTGCGTAAAACTTATGTACGAGGGAAACTAAACTCACACTTGGGAAGAGGAATGGTGGGGAATGGACGTATGTTCACTTTCTACCAAAACAGGTTTATATAAATTATATAAAGGTGAGTATTCACCAAAAAAGCGAGCACGAGCGAGCATGAGCGAGTATTCGTGTATGTTTGCCCGTGTTCGCTCGTGTTTGTTCGACGTAATGATGTCTCGTCCACACCAGAGCGAATATCTTCAAGTTCGTAGTCGTAGTTGATCCATCTACTTTGTGAGAGCACCTTTTTGATGTACCGCCTTCTTCTCGATCTTTTCTGAACGCGAACAAGCATACGTTCGCTCGCTCGCTAGCCCGTACTCACCAGACGATTATTGATGCAGAATGCTTGTTCACTCTTGTTCGCTCTTGTTCCCTCGTGCTCGCTTTTTTTGTGAATACGCACCTTAACGTTCACTCTGTAGCGAAAAATTCAATTTTACGTATCAACTATCTGCACCAGCCAAACTGTACGGTATTTTAACAAAAATCATGAAATAGTATTGAAGTAAGTTTTTATCCTTTTAATGGTCTAGGATAGAGGGGGTTGATCTAATACGTTTACTGACCCAGAACCAGCTAATGCATACGGCATTACAAACTGAATGACATAAAAACTGAAATATAAGTCTTACAGAAATTTATCATATTTGCACTTTTCCGAAAATAATTTTGTTTTCTAGTTTCCTATCTAATTTTTTTCATACTGTTTGGGTTAGGAAAGATCCCAGTCGTTTTCAGTATCTAAATTCATGGAAATCATACAAGAACTTTGAGCAAATTACTCCCTACTTGAGTTATTTTTTCCCTTTTTCCATAATTTTTACGTACACCACCTACAACTAATGGCATTAGACTGTAACCTATTTTTTTTACTTCAGAACTATAGTTAGCCAGGGCACCTTAACAAACTGAAGTCCATTCAATAATATGTCTGTTCTGAATGAATTTTGAGGAATATCTCCTTGGTTGACCAACTGTTTGTAAAATTAAAAAATTTGTTTGTTGTATTCCGTATAGAAAAAATTAATCAGATTATTACAAGAAGTACTTTGTGATTCAAATTTTTGAAAGTTGGGACTTCGATCCCTTAAGAATGAAAGAGGTGGGGAGTTGAAAATCACATGACCAATGGAAAATCGATCTGCTACAGCAATTTTCTGATATATTTCTGTCAACGGTTGTAAGGAGTTTACTATTTTCATTCCAAAAATTAAATTTAAAGAATATTGGCGAAAAAAATGTATCTGAGTAAATCCCATACTTTTAAAGAAATGATTTTAAATTTTCGCCTTTGTATTCACAATTAAATTATATGGAAAACATATACAAAATTTGATGTGACCGAACGACTATTGAAATGAGGTTCAGATTTCAGAACGTCTGAAAGCAACTTCATTTACGTTTTTGTTATTGCCGCCATTGAGATAAAAGTGAACCACTTGTGTGTAAATACATAATTTTGTAATACCAACCTTGCATGAGATTTCATTTTCTTTGCTATCTTTGACTGACGGTGATTATTTTTCTATCTTTCAGATACGGGTGATTCATCTCAGAGGAAAATGGAACCTCAGATATAGTATTTCACTTGTTTTTGTGTGATGGAATCGGAAGAAGCACTGAGATATTATTTAGATGAAGTTAAGGATACTCAAAATGATATAAATAACGTAGAGGAGGATCTTCATATTCCTAACGGTGAGTTGATATGATACACATGCATCATTAGTTTGTGTATCCAAAATAAGTGAACAAGTAATGAAAACAAAGACAAGCTTCCGCACGAAACAACCCACCATTTCATTGAAAAATTTCCTGAAACTAAACGGTTTTGAGTCACTTTATTAATTATTGTGTACGAACATATTTTATATCCCATTTTCCAACTTCGCTGCCCGGCAATATAATTTACTTACTGTGAAATATGCAATGTCCACAGTTAATTCGTTGTAAAAACGCCAGTTTATGTAGTACAGAATTGAACCATGTATGGATTTTGCAACGGACCATGTTGGGGAGCCTCGTCTATCTCTGTGATATACCTGAATTGGGTCTTCTATCGATACCATAAATGGTCGACTTGACGTACTTAGGCTTGAGAACAATGGAGTTCAGCAATGTGTCTGCAGTTCAGCCTAGCACTAGTGATACGATTTATAGCAGTTCAAAACAGCGATGTCTGGTGTTTGGGTCACAATTGCCTTATTTTTGACTTGGGTTTCAACAGCAACAGCTGACAGATTCTTTAAAAAAGTCCGTAACAAATCCGTTTTTCTGTTGCTGACACTCCGCAGTCAAGGCATACACCATTGATGATGTATGTCACAGTAGCAGACAAAACGTTTGGTACAACAAGTTTCCTTCAATCACGCCCTAAGGCCGTAATTTTATTCTCTCTAATCGTGACTCTAGCCGTAAAAGCCTGGGCTCTAATATTATACTTACCCACTTCTCAATAATGTGTTCATTGATTGAAATTTATTATTATTGTACTTGTATTTTTTAATTTATGGGTTTGCTCAAAGCTTATCGCGTGTGGTTTACAAAATAAATACTCAAATATTTTGGCAAGTTTAATATAATTAACCAGTACCTACTGATATGGACATATATTGATAACAATAATAATTTACTATTCATTTATTTTCACATTACAAGTACCTATATCAGTTGAGTATGCTTCAATTAAACTTGTTTTCAAAAATATCACTAAGTATTATGTTTATATTATATTTACAGCATTAATTATTGGAATTATTTTGTTGCAGAGGCTGAACAAGCAACTGATTTTCTCAACAATGCCGGATTATCAGATCTCACGATTATATACCAACAAGGTAAAGAAATAACGGAAAATGTTGTCAAGGATTCAGTTAGACAAAGGAATTTAACCGAAAAACAAGCCCAGACGATACGATTCCGAGTTCGGACTCTAAATAAAACTTTAAGAAGTCGCCAGCCAAGGAGGAAACAACGGCAGGATATTAGAGACGTCTCTTGGAATGTCGAGGTATTTTTGACACAGTCGACACACTCTTTATTAGCTCAATGTTGCCAGGTTTAAGGGTGTTGGTGGTATTTTGATTTCAGTTCACTTAATGTAGGAAGTGGGTCATTTATCTGGTGATAGTGCAATTGGTTCGTTTTCTAATGTGTATTTTACTTTAAAGCACAGTGAATGAAGCATTCGTTTCATTTTTATTCATTATTAGAATGTTGTAATACGTAAGTATTTCCTCATATTCGTATCGAGTGAGTGACTATTTTGATTGAATAGCAATGTTTTTTCATTGAAGAATATCAAGCTGTCTGATTTTGACAACCCAGTTCCAGATATAAAAGACATAATGAAGGTACAGCTGTAGTTGGTTACCAGAACAAGATTTCAAATCTTATAACTGTAATTGCACAGACATGTCTAAATCTTAATGATTTATTATAAATAAGTAATGCGATATCACCGATTATACTTATTCAGTGATAACTTTAATAAGTGAATAAACTGCGAAAATGGTAAACTATTTTTAAAATAATGACAAGTTTATAAAGGGTGGTACATAAATTTTTTTCTAATACTCCAAATGTTTTAATAGAATAACACAGTTTCGTGAAACCTTGTCTCACCTAGTCAACTAAATCCCTAAATATATATTTTATCAAAATTTGTTAACTTCCACAGCCGGAGAGAACTGTAGAAATGTTTTTAAACCATGCACAGGTTTGGGTAAACGATCAGACCAGGCACTGGGAAGCGGAGCCTTTGCTAAAATAAACAATTTTGCTGATCTCCGCTATCTTATGAGGGCGAAACAAAGCGTCGATATCGAAGGCCAGGTGGGGTTCAGATGAAAAAATAGTTTGAGTGGAAATATCAGACATCCGAAACTGTACTTCTGTCCTGTTCCTCAGACAATACCTAATCTGTGACACAAAACAGTAATTATCCTTCTTCTGTGATCAGAATTCTCTAAACGGTTTGTTCTGTGTCGTTTGTCTGCTTCAACCAATGAAACTCTCGTTCTGAAAAGATGACTGCTTTCCTAAGAGAGGAAACACTTCAATTTTCCAACGCTTGGGAGTGAAAATTCCAATGGTTAACTCTTTTGTGGTTTGTCTGTTTTTATCCCATGGGTGTGGGGCGTGACTACTAACGAACGAAACAACTCCCAACACCAATGATATAAAACCAAAATTCCAGGCTTTGACAGATGCTGCTGTTTGAGCGTGTGAATATATATATATACGCCGATGGCACGGCTCTCCTCTCATCTTACATGGGTCTGGAGCTCGGGATCGTCTACTTACAACGTGCATTGGTACCTTGAATGGAAGATCCGAGTGAACCCGGAAAAAACTCAGGCGATGACCATGAGAAGAAGGGAGATCGACTGGCGAGCGCGGGTAAAGTACCTCGGTCTTCTCTGATCAACAGAAGATCAAAAATGATCCTTAAAAACAAAATTACCATCTACAACACAATATTCAAGCCTGTCATCATGTATGCATAAGAGATTACAAAATAAGTTGATAGGGATGATTGTGAATGCTCCGTGGTTGGTGCGGAATGAAGCCACCCGCAGAGATTTGCAGCTGCCTTCCATTCAGCAGTCCATTCAGTCGAGTAATCGGCGAGTTATTGATAGCGCGGAAACTCACGAAAATCCGTTAGTTAGGGAAGCTATAGATTATGCTGTAGACGACCCCTCACAATATAGAAGTCCCCACCCCAACCAGGTAGAGGTACCCCGTGAAGGGCGGTACTGATGTCTGAGGACTTTCATACCACCACCATCTCTTAGTCATGAACCCATTAATACCTGGTAGCCGCTAACAAACAGGTAAATTGAGACTAGTAATTGCGCTAACTGTTTACTACGATAAATATATATTGAAATGTAGGTAATTTTATTGCGAGTAGAATAGTATAAGGTTGCTCGTGAAAATATGTTCACAGAACGGTAGGCAGGCTTTGAAGTTTAAAAAATTGGAGCAGGTAAATATATTCTGTTTAGTTCATCAAAACAGAAATAATGTCAAAAAAATTACAAAAATTGTACAGCAAACAAATTATTGTAACCTTACATAAAAATGAATTACTAAATGTGTTAAACAAGCGTTGTCGTGAAGCAGGATCGGACCTCTTCTGTTGACCAGTACCGGCTGCTGCTGACGCAATTTTCAGTACATTTCGTCGATTTCCTCCCAATAGGACTCTGCTGTGATGGTTTGGCCAAGTTGCAGAAACTTATACTGAATCACACAAGCCGCTGACCACCATACAGTAACCATGTCTTTTTTTGAGTGGATTTTCGTCTTTGGGAAGTGCCTGGCAGGCTCATCGGAGTCCAACCACTGTTCTGAACGTCTCCTGTTGTCGTAGAGGATCCACTTTTCATTACACTTAACGATCCGATCCAAAAAGTATTATTTTGGTTACACGAAAGCAAAAAAGATCAGATCTCGAAACGTGACAATCGTGGCACCCACTTTTCGAGCTTCTTGACCTTTCCAATGCGTTTTAAACCATCAAAAACCGCATGGGAGCTGACACCCAGTTCTTCCGCTATCTCACGCACCGTTTGTAGTGGGTTAATCTCCACCAGGGTCCTTAAATCTTCGTCCTGGATTACTTTGGGTCGACCACTTCGGGGCTCATCTTCGAAGCTAAAATGTCCAGAAGGAAATTTCGCCAACCAACGTCGAATAGTGCGTTCATTAACACTATCATTGCCAAATGCTTGCTTAATTTTTCGGACTGTTTCGGTAGCGCTTTGGTTCAAGTTGAATTCGTGAAAAAAAAATTGGTCTAAAATCGTTTAACGACATCATGCAGTAATGCGGGTGAAAATTGGCAAAAAATCCAAATTTGGAAAAAATGAACAGCATCAATGTATAGAGTACAACATTTTCTGTCGATAAGTTTATAACACGCCACAGTAAAAATAATATTTATTGAGATATGAAGCAACGAAAACACATGACATCACAACGGACAAAACTTTTGTAATCACGTAATACTAAAAATTATACCATTTTACGTTAATTTTGTCCGACATTGATATTTTGTTTCGTTCAAAAATTAAGAGGGGAGGGGGACTATTTACGTCCGCACTGAATATTTTCATACAATATTGACTGTTATTACGATTTCAGACTTCAAGTACTGGTACAAGATCCAGGTCTGCCACACCTGATTCTCTTGACTCTGTGGAAAATCTGAATGATGATCTCACCTCGGACGAAGAGCAACAACTTAATTCTTTGAATCCATTGTAAGTTATTCTACTTTTTAATGATGATTTCTCGTTTCGCAAACTAAGGGTAACAAATCAGAGAAATAGAGGGTTAGATGTAAGGGATGATTTTTCAGCTACGACGAAGGTCTCAGAGATTAATTTTACAGTCTTTCGAATAAAAAAAATCATGGTTTTATACTACCAATCACTTTTGGAGATCCAAAGTGTCATAGTTTGACAAGAAAAACACAGTTGTTTTTCTCATGAATTTTTTCGAAATAATCGTTTTATTTGAATTGATACTTATGTCACACGTTTCAAATATTGAATAAATTGTCGATTGTAAGGAGGTTGATACTGCCTATCCTTTACTAAAACCAATAATGATTGAGAGTAGAAGTAAGTCCAGTTGACAGCAAATCGGGGGCGTGCTTA